CTTTGATAAATAGTTTAATTTTTGTCAAAGAAAAACAAGAGAAATAATTTATTTCTAAAATTTTGTGAAAAAATACTCTAAATTTATAAAACTACATAAACATTAAAAACTAAACCATATATATATCTAAATTGTGAATCAAAAAAAAAACTTAAAATATGCTATAAAATCCGGCGCGTAGCGCCGGTGAACCCCTAGTTTAACTATATAAAACGGTGGTACTTTGTTGTTGCAAAAAAAAAAAACCGTGGTACTTTATTGTCTCTCAGTCCTTTTCATTTACCAAACCACATTAAACGGATAGTGTAGAGCCGTTATTGTTGTTATTATTAGCATTAGTATTATTTTTATCTTCGTTTTGGATCGAAGGACACATCGTCGCTGCTGCTTTCATTTCTTTGTTCTTACCCCATAAGAACACGTAGAGACCCGTTACTGCCACCACGGATCCAATTATACTGTAATCGAAGTCCGAAAATACGTCACTGATTAATGTTGTATAGGAGCATGGACCTACATCTCATATATATAAAAATGGAATTACCTGCCGAGGTACAAAGGAGTGTGTAAGATGAGAAAATCGAATAGAGTAGCTGAGATAAGGATAACAGGACTAAATGTTGATGCGAAAACGGCTCCTACTCTCTTTATCGACCATGATGTTGCTACTGTTGACAGCGCTTGCCCCACTATTCCCTTTATTTTATACATTTTGAATCATCAGGACCGGACTGTATCTATATATATATATATATGTGTGTGTATTTTTTATCCCATTTCAAAACATGGAATATATTACTATATATTAATCGACTTACAGCGTATATAATGACGAAAATAACGAATCTATCATCCATGACCCAATCTTTGGCATCTCTCCTCTTGTAAAGACTCAGGAGAGCACATTGGAATGAGCCGAAAACTGACATGAGACAAGTGCTCGTGTATTTGCAAGGGTACTTGGTGTTTAAAGTCCCTTGGAAAATCATCCATAGAGACAGAAACGTGGTTCCTATAGTTGCATAGAGACATCCAAGAAGCCAGTTATCTGTCTTGTTGTTGTTGTTGTGGTGAAGACCCTCTGGGTGCGAATGGAAGTGTGATATCTGAGGACCTTTGTAAAATGTTAACAACATTGCTCCACTAACGCATATAAAAGTTCCCATCACTTTTAACATTCCTGCTTTACCTTTTAGATTTCTTACACTCTCCGTCCTGGAATTACAGAAACAAATAAAAAACTGTTTAACTTTACACAGATTATCAAACTTCGAAGCTATAAAAGGGGCTTTTACCCCGTCCCCCAAAAAGGATTCGATTAGTAACTATGCGCGTAGCTAATTTTTTTGAATGAATGTCAAATTAAATCAAATCAAATAATTTTTACAATAGCGGTAAGTATTTTGTTTTGAGAAATATAACTTGTGAGCAGAGCTTTGAACTAATTAGATCATCTTACTGAAAACCAGAGGGTCATAACTAAAGTTTCTAATATTAAGACATGTTAAATACAGACAGGCTTATCATATTGGTTTATATATTATACGAAACGAAAGTCAAAGTCTTCTCGTATTAGAACTTTAAAATTACATGAAATTAAATACTATTTTGTTATAATACATTTAGAGTGTGATTGGCTAGTCATATTACTGTAAAAAATGTTTTTGGCTGAGTTGCACCGGAATACACAAGTGAATGCAGAGTAATTATTTTTGTCTTTTTGTATTTGTAAAGTTAACTTTCTTCTCCTGTTTTTATAGAGTAAAAGTTTTATTCCACAGTTCAAAAAAAAAAAGTTTTATTCCAAGTTTATCTTTTTCTCTAAATTTTTTCCACTCATTTGCTCTACTTTTTATTACTTCTGCTTACTCTAACTTTATCCCTTTTTCCACTCATTTTCTCTAAAAAAAAAATTAACTTACACTATGATGCTATTATTAACTTAGTTATTGATATTTTATGAAAGCTTAACTTCTAGTGAAAGACGGTTCATCAGTACCTTAAAATAAGGGACAAAGCGAAGGTAATCGCAGGCAACATGCTTACAAAAGCACCCGCAACAGTTGCTGACGTGTACAACAGACCAAGCATAAAGAAAAATTGTAGCAAACTTGCCCTGCATATTTTTTTATTTTATTTTAATTAAACAAGTTAGAGCTTAACTATATAACTCTCTAAGTATTGGTAGGTATATCCAAAAAAAATTAACAGGAGAATCTAACGGAGTATATATTAATTTATATATAAGAACATATTGAAAATGAGATTTCAGAGGACAAACCCAAGCAAACCGCTGATGAAATGATCGATCATTAGCCTAAATGTTATTTTCGGTCTTGCTTTCCTATTAAAATAAAACACAATATTTAGAAGGAAAAAATATTTAATTAATCACATATGTACTCGTTATTTCATCAAAATATCGAACCGTTCCAAGAAATAGGCGAGAGGAGCCAAAATGAAAGCAGAAATAGCCAGACGATAAGCACCAATGACCATATGGTTCACACCACCAGCAAGAGCTTTCTTCACAAGTGCATTCACTGAGCCCGTCGCTACGTTTGCTACCACAATTGCCATAACCGGTGACCATTTTTCTGCTATTGATCTCTCTCCTACAACGACACTCATCTTTCTTTTTCTTTCTCTCTATGTATTGATATATATAAGTAACGTGTGTTCTAGAGAGAGTGATAAGACCCGATGTGCTCTGAGTTCACCGCAAGCCTTCCCATATTTATAAGCAGAGGTGTATATACATTGGGAATATCTTGACGTAAATTAACCCAACGGACAAATAGTTGTATTCCACTTATAGTATATGTCGAATACATAATGTATAAAGCTTTCCCTTTAGACGACAAACTTTAATTTTTCCATGACTTGTATACGCTATTTTACCTGGCTTTACAACGGTTTATCTTGACTGCACTATTTTAACTTATCATCAAGTCATAGTGTTCTGCAAGCTTCTCCGAGAATCTTATAGATGTGCAGGTACTAAGTAGACGACATTTGATTTGAGAGAACATAGAGAATCATGAATATTATTTACTGGCGAATCTTCCCACCCCACCGTAAACATATTTCTCCCCTTTTCTTTTTCCTTGTACATCAGAAAATCGGCATACAAATTTTTAGTAGTAGTTTACTTTTATCATTCTCAATCATATTTTAATGAGTGTGTAGTAGAAACTTTTTTTCTGTTTATTAATTAGCAACTAAATTTCCTAAGTCCTCATCCTGGCGTATATATACATATATTTAGCATTAAACTTTTTTTTACTGTATAGAATTTCCAGTAATAAGATATGTTGTTGCTCAAGTTTCTAGTTACTTTATGGTTTCTGCAATAATATTTATCACATATATCAGCTTTCGTTTCTATTTCTAAATCAATCGTAGTTTTTTTTTTGTTGGCCAAGTAGCTTTTACAAGGTAAAATGGTAAATAAATACTCCTGACAGGACCAACTTATGGTGTCAAGTTGTGGTTTAGGAAGTTTAGAGAGTTTTATGATGTTAAGCAACTCCCAAGAATAAAACATGTTATTCTTTGTATGAATCTGAAGTCTCATTGATGTCTAAGCTTAGATAGGTTCTTTCTTCGCCTGCTTAGTTTTATAATTTTATTGCTGAAACTTAACTAATTCATATGAGTAGAATGAGTATAAGGAATATTTGCAACAAAACACCCAAACTACAAAATATTCTCAGGTATTTAAAGAAAAAACTTACCAATGAACACATTTTTATTGATGTTTCGAGATAGAATCGGTAAAATCAGTATAATATTCTACAAACCGATCTTGTGGAATCTTATATTCATTTTACTGATTCTATCTCAAAATATTTTCTAAAATATATATCATTCTATAGAATTATATAGTGATTTAGGACCAGTCCACACCATAAAATTATATTTTGGAAACTGTGAATTAGTCGTAAATCACTATTGTAAAATTTATCCTTAAGTGTGTTAATTATTATTTTTACCTTCTATCAACTTAGTTTTGAACTGCTTCACCAAACTATCACTTTCTACTATTACATGATATAATTTATCTATGAAAAAGTAAGAAAATGTTAGTAGATGGTGTAAAGACATGAAAAACAAAGTTTTAATTTTTATAATTGGAAGATTAGAATAAGTTGAAAATAGGATTTAAAAATTATCTAATCATCAGCTGAAATCATCTTAATTAAAAAGCGTATTTATTCTAAAGCTTTATGAAATTCATTTTAATCTTAAATATATCTAAAGATGAATGAATTCTCGAAAGGATAGATGTGGTTTAAACAAAACAATAAAGAACTTTTTATGAATTTGAGATTTATTTAAAAGGAAATCACTTTTTAAAACTCCAAATTTTAAACACAATATAAATTGCCCTATATTTTAATTGTAGACATCTCCTTTTTTATACTGAATTCTTTTTAATATACACAAATACATTTGTTTTTCTTAAATTGCAGATTTCAAATATAAAATAATTCTTAAATATATTAAAGATATTTTATTTTATATTATACTCCATTTTGATTTATAAAAACATTCAATTTCTTGGATATATATCTATATAAGATATTCCCTTTTTATATTAAATTAATTTTTAATTTATATAAAATTTTGAGAATACATACATCACCTTTTTATTTAAGGGGATTTAAATAAACGTTAATTAAAAGGAAAATTAAATAAAATATATTAGTAATGACAAATACAATAATAAACTAATTCACTAAATAATATTATCATTAACATTCAAAGAGTCAATTTGAAAATGAGACAAAAAAAACTGATTTTTCAAATAATATTATAAATATAATTATAAAAAACAGTATATGATATATACATTCTTTTTTTATACGCACAAACTCTTTAAGTCGTCTTAATCTTCTTCTTTTTTTGGTACGCATGTTAAAACAATAATTGTCTGTGTTATTAGATGCGTTAGACATTAAAGTTTAAATATTGCATTGTCCTCTTTTTTATCACATAAGGCTGTTTTTAACAATACAAATACATTAACACAGATTAAAGAAAGGTAACACAAGCTTCTGCAAATGAAACGACTCGTCGTAAAATACTTGTTCTTTCATAAAGTACAGAATTCATGAACATCATGTCTTTTTTAGTCAACTTAAACATCATGTCTAATAAGAAAAATAGTTGAAGGAAAGAAAAAACGAAATTGAAATTAACAAGACAAGAATATTTGTGAAAGCCAGTTACAAAAAAAAAACAAGAATATTTATGCGTGCACAAAAGAAAAAAGTCAAGAATATTTGTCCTTTTAAAAGTTTAGAATATAGTGTGTGGACATGTACCGCACTAAGTAATAATTTATAACTTCTCTCTTATAAGCATTGTTGGGAATTTTATGACCACTATCGTCGTAAAAAAATGAATATATATTATTTGTAGTCTGATATTCCAAATTAACGTATTTTGTATTAAAAAAAAAAACCCTCCCTCAATTAATCAAATGGAAGTTCACCACCACCAAAAACAGTTACAAAAAAAAATAAGTTCTCCACGAAAAAGAGGGTGTTCAGTCGATTCTTGCAGAGTTTTAGTAGAAAAACAAATGTACGTTCAGACACCTTGACCATAGAGAGTTCACTCCACAAGCATATTGTCTTTTGTTGCATCCATTCTGTGTAAAAGTGCAGGGAACAAGACATCAACCAAACTATAAAGGAAGAAGACGTCAATCCAACAACAACATTAGAATGATTCACACGAAACATAGACATAGACGCACCTCAACGACCTGACAAGCGAGAAACCCAACCAATCGTGTCTCTTTCACGACGAGAGAGTTTTTTTCTTTCTAATGAAGAACTATGGATTTTTTTTTTTTTGACAACCTATGGTCCTATGGAAATAAATTGATTGGGAAAAATGTTCTACAACTATTATAATTGTTGCGCTTAATTTCCTAACGGTTATATAACACTTTAGTTGGTGCCCGCTCAAAGTCTCCCTAACTAAGTCATCTTCCATATAATGGGCCTAAAAATATTAACAATTATGGGCTTTCATTCGAAAGAGCCTAAACTTAAAACCTTAGCCTTCCTTCGTCACGTCTCTTCCCGGTAATAATCTCATCATCTTCTCTTAACGGAAAATGAAAGAAATTTCGGACTTGTATTCGAATGTTTTCATTAGAAATTTAATATTTGTAAAATTCGAAGGACATCAAGAATGAGGAAATATTGCACTTAGACGCTTGAGGAGATTTGACGATTACACTTCATTTGTAAAAGCAGATGAGAGTCAGGAGAAGTTACTAAGAAACTTCAAAAAAAAAGACAGAGAGAATGATGTAAAAAGGTTACATGCCGAAGAAAATGTTTTGCAGCAAAAGCAGAAACTGTTGGTTTAAGCCTCGGTCCTCTCAATACCTTCTCTAACTATGATTCTGCGACCTTCATATTCCTACAAAGTGAAGAGAGTCTTAGTGTGTTAAGTGAAAAAGAAGTAAGCACAAACAAAGTGTGTTTCTTTCTTCAATTCAAGATCTTAACTGTTCCGTTGAGTGAAAGAGCCGCGTCACGTTCTTCAAGGTTTGCAAAAGAAAGAAAGGCAAAGACTCTGTTTTTCCCAGTCTTACGGTCGTGTAACACTCTCGTGCTTACGACTGTTCCAAAATTGCTAAAGTGGTCTCTCAAATCATCAGGCTGCGTTGACCAAGGGAGGTTTCCGACATAAATCTTGAACTGGCTTTCGTACATGAGAATCTTCTTAGGAGTAGAGTTCAAGGCTGCTGTGTTTCTTCTTGTTCCTGGATTCATCTCAGCAGAGTACTTAACCCGCATTTCTCGACCACCTACTTCCTTCATACCAAAGAAGAAAACAAAAGCAATCTCAGACCAAGAAAGACATCAAAATTTTATTTTATTGGGCTCTTATTACTTTTTCATCAAGAGATGCAATGGCGTTTTTGGCAGAGTTTAAAGAACTCATTGTGACATATCCACTTCCTCGGCTCTCTCCAGTCTGTGGATTTCGAGATACCTGCCAATGATCATTTCAAGCAACACACACCTCTCATTATATGATTATATACTCCCAAAGAGACACGTGTGAGGATAAGAAGTTAGATTTCTTCTACCTCGACGGAGATGACAGTTCCAAAAGGTTGAAACATTTCGAGAAGCTGAGTAATGTCATAGCTTCTAGGGATGTTGCAAACGTATAGCTCGCAAGGTCTCTGTTTCTTCATCACCACTGCTTCTGCTTCTGCTTCGGTTTCTTCACCTGTCTCTCCATCAACTTTAACTTCTTCTTCTTCTTGTTGTTTCTCTTCATCAAGAACTGATAATTCTGAAGAAGAATAAACCTTGATTTGTAGTGGTTTAGCTACAAAGTGGCGAGACAGAGAAGAGTGATGAAAAGAGGTGGAAGAAGCTTTGAGGGATGCTACGTAAGGGGATGAAGAGATTAGCGTTTTGCATTTGAGGATGTCATTGGATGATGATGGAGAAGATAAGGGAGTTGCGAAGCAGGAGGCTGCCATTATCGAACCAGATATGTTAATAATTCGAGAGAAAGCTAATATAAAATAAATATTAGAAATATAAATTAAGAGAACAAACCGGGTCCGGTTAGTTAACTACATGACTGAAACCTTCTCTTTGGTTTAGCCGTTTCAGAATGTTGGAAGAACATTGGTTTGTAATTTAGCAAATATTCAACAACAAAATAAACAAAATAAAGTTCAAACGATCCAAACTATGTCTCTCTGTAACATTTTAACTTAAATAGTACTATTATGTAGGAAAACATCAAACAGAAGCCAAAGACAAAACACAGCTTTAAGTCTCTCACTTTATTCAGACTTGAGCTGTGCCTTCAGTGAACTTGGGATCCTCACATCTGTAACGTCCATCAGGTCCTATTCCAAACCCTTTTGGATCAGCAAACACATTCTCTAGCAACTGACTTCTACCTGGCTGTGGACTCGCGTCTGCAAACTCTACCGCTTCCTCCACCAACTCGTCTATCTTCTTCTCTATCGACTTAAGCTCAGCTTCATTCGCTAGCTTGTTCTCTACCAAATACTTCTTCAGTGCTGTGATCGGGTCTCTAGCTGCGTACTTGGCTTTCTCAGCTGCCATAATCTAATGTTAGTTTCAATCCAATGATAAATTTTAAAAGCAGTAAAAGAGAGAGAGTTTACCAGCATCACGAAGCTCATCAGGATCAGCCAAGGAGTGTCCTCTGAACCTATAAGTCTCACATTCCACCAAAGTTGGACCTTCACCTCTTCTAGCTCTCGTCACTGCCTCTTTAGCCACTTCTCTAACCTTCAACACATCCATACCGTCAACATGAACACCTGGCATCCCAAACGCAGGTCCTTTCTTCCATATCTCAGGATCAGAGGTAGACCTCAAATGAGACATCCCAATCGCCCACAAGTTATTCTCAACGACAAAGATAATAGGCAACTTATAAAGCGCAGCCATATTCAAACACTCATAGAACTGTCCGTTATTACAAGTCCCATCTCCGAAAAACGCAATAGTGACATCTTCACAATCCTGTTTCAAGACTTCCCTCTTGTACTTTGAAGTGAAAGCAGCACCAGTGGCAACAGGGATGCCTTCACCGATAAAAGCAAACCCACCAAGCACGTTGTGTTCTTTAGAGAACATGTGCATGGATCCACCTTGACCTCTGCAGCAACCAGTGACTTTCCCGAAAAGCTCACTCATGACGGCACGAGCGGAGACACCTTTGCTGAGGGCGTGGACATGGTCACGGTACGTGCTGACGACGGAATCGGATTGAGTGAGGAGCTTGATGAAGCCGGTGGAGACAGCTTCTTGGCCGTTGTACAAGTGGACAAAACCAAACATCTTGCCACGGTAGTACATTTGAGCACACATGTCCTCGAAAGAACGGCCCAGTATCATGTCTTCATACAACACCAATCCTTCCTCTTTGGTTATCAACTATATTTCAAAGGCACATAGAAATCTTACATTCTAGATAACTCAATCAAAAGCACATACATAAGATTTAAATAATTCAAAAATTCCTAAGAATGATAAAACTAAAGAAATAACTCTCTTGATGATTATAGTACTTAAGGGATCATGAATTGTAAGGACAGTGACTTGGACAATGAGAGAGCATACCAGGGTGTTGGTGATTTTCTTGTCCTTGACAACTTCCTGGACGCCAACGACGGGAGATCGACGAGCGGCGTGAGCATGGTAGAGTCTGCGAGAAGAAGGAATGGTGAGGGAACGGGTGGATCCGAGGAAAGAGGAAGAGGAAGGAGCTAATCGGATCGGGGGAAGTAAGAGACGATTCTCTTGAGATCCATGGAGAGGAATGGTGGCAGAAGAGAAAGACGTAGCCATTTTTGGGTTATAGCAAATGTGAGAGATCGAAAGGAATGAGTAAAAATGAATCGAGGCGGAGAAAACGAGGGAGAGAGGATGAGTTGGAAGTGTGCAACAGAGAGAGACAGCAGAAAGAAAGGAACACAAAGTGGGGTAAGGAAGAACAGCAACACAAGTGTTGTTCGATCCGCACAACTACCCGAACAGAGCGCGTTTGATCCACTCTCCTTAACACACTTGGAGGACCGGGCTTAATTATTAGGCCCTACTATTGTAAAAGCCCTGTTTCTCGCTCAATTAGATTTATTCACTTGCCTAGTTTCCAACCATTAAGTAGAAACGTTAATGTATTTCTCTACACTTTTATACAGCCATTTTTCAATTTCTATACGATCGGTTATGTTTTACTTTGATTCCAGGTCTCTTTATAAATCTTAAATATCTTTCTTGAATTGTAATCAACGAAGAAAAAGATAAAGAAAACGTCAAAATCCAATTCTTTAGCCAGACGAAACCAAAGCAGTAACTAACAAAATATGGTCTTCAAATTTGATAAACAAACAACTACGAAACAAGAAAAATAAAAAGCAATTGCTGGCTGCTTAGTCGAACAAGCCGAAACCCAAATCTCCATCACTCTCTTCTGCTACTTCTTCCTGCAACCACACAACAAAATTCACCAAAATCACATCAATAACCAAACTAGATGAAATAAAAAAAAGTAATTATTAATTATTGCTTATCGTACCTTCTTCTTCTCTTCAGAAGCAGGTGCAGCGGCCGCAGCACCACCACCGGCAGCAGGGGCAGCAGCTGAAACTGGAGCTCCACCTCCGCCACCAGCACCAACATTCATGATGAGGTCAGTGACGTTACGCTTGTCAGCCATCTTGGCGAATAGCATGGGCCAGTATGACTCACAAGTAACACCAGCGGCTTTGATCAATGTAGCGATCTTGTCGGCCTAACAAGCATCATAGAGAAAAAAAAACAAAACCGTTTAACTAAGCTGTCAATTATCAAGCAAACAGACACAGCTCCTAATACTTCAACTAAAATGTCTTATTAGGAAAACTAGCCTTATACCGAAGATTATTAAGTAAATGAATAATCTGATAACTAATAAAAAAAGGAACACCAACCGTGATAGCAATACCCTCGTCCTCGAGGATCATAACAGCGTAGCTGCAAGCAAGTTCTCCGACAGTCGACATTCTTTTTCTTTCTGAAAAACCATGTTAGAACGACAACAACAACAGCCGATTAATTACCAATTTATTAATACATATCAAACTAAGAATACACAAATTCAGACTTCAAATCAACTAAAACACAAATTTCTAACTAAATCTATGTACATACAATCTAACAGTGAGAGGTTCCAGGATTAATAAAAATAGAAATGGAGAAGCATCGAGAGTACCTTAGACTAGGATCGAAAATGCTTTCGCAGAGCGGCTCTAGTGAATTTTGCTAGGGTTTGCAGCGAAGTTGGGAGACGCCGAGATTATAAAGCTTGTAACCCCAGCCATATATGGGCCGTTTAAGTTATTCTATATGGCCCATTTATGCCTTATGCGCTTTACTCCTTTAAAGGCCTGTGTGATTATAGCCCAGAGAGAGAGAGGTTTGACTTTGACCACAGATGCGTTTGTATTGAGTAAAAAAACAAAAACTTGTTGGTTGGGTTCTAGGGAACGACCACGGTGGTCCACCTTATGTCTCGATACCTGGCTCCACGCACGTGATAGCACGAGCTTGGTCAAGCTTATACTTGATGCTTGGCTGTCAGTTTGAAGTAGTTAACATGATCCTTCAGATGATATGTTTTGTACATCATCTTGAGTAAACAACATATATCATGACATGATATCTAACCTTGTTTTTTTTTTTTTTTCTTTTATACTCAAGATTCATGTCCTTTTATCTTGTACATTAATCTCGATCCAAAAATTAGAGGATCTTTACTGCTCCTGTTTATTACGCATGCTAATTTTAATGTATCAACAATCAGGATTTTAGTTGAATGGCAGAAAATGGAAGTGATTTGAAGTGGTTTTAGTCCATTTGAATCATTTGATAAACCTAAATCAAAGTGGCATTTCTCTCTCCCTAGTCCCTACGGTACATCTACATGGATCCATAACAGAATATATGCATGTTAATATCGATGCATTACAAATATATAAAATAACAGTTGTTTCTGCCATAAGATAAAATAATGTAAGAAAAAAGATAAAAAAACACAGTCATCGGTGTCGTGGTTGCAGTTAAAGAGGTGGTCAGAGCTCATTTCTTACACAAAAGCAAAGCAACCAAAAGATTATCTGTACTTGTTCCTTCTCTCTCTCTCTATCTCTCATGAGTTCAGCAAAAATCTAAAGCCAAATCTCAATCATCTTTTACCGAGAAATAAGACAAGGAACACCGAACACACACGATAGATAATAATGTGCTAAAGAGTGATCTCCCGACAAACAAAAAAAAATACACATGGGTAAAAAGAATGGTTCTTCTTGGCTTTCTGCCGTGAAGCGAGCTTTCCGATCTCCGTCTAAGAAGGAACGAAGTGATCCTCACGGTAAAGAAATCGAAGAAGACGAAGAAAAGGTTTGTTGTTTCTAGATCTTGTTTTTCATTTCAAGAAGAGACATTTTTGTTCTTCTCATTTTCTGTTTTTGCTCTGTTTTTATTTATACAGAAGAGAGAGAAGAGACGGTGGTTGTTCAAAAAACCGGCGACTCAAGATTCTCCGGTGAAGCCTTCCGGTGTCTCTCCGCCGCCACCGCAAGAATCAGATAACGCAAACTCGAAAACATTACCGGAGACAGCACCAACGACACCTCCCAACGCCGGAAAATCTCCGTCCGCCTTTGTCTCCGTCGCCACATCAGCATCTCCGGTAGCTGTACCTAATGTGACGAGGCGGATCTATTACGCAAGAGAGAACTACGCTGCTGTTGTTATCCAGACTTCTTTCAGAGGTTACCTGGTATGCTAAGCCAATTAATTACTAGAAGTTAATATCAATGCTTTTTTACTTTATTATATCTTACCTACTGACTGTTAGACAACTTTATAGTGACAAAGACGTGTTAAATTAATACTAACAGTGTTTATACAAACGGTACCAGATTGGGATTTAATATTTTGTGTTTATTAATATATGGTTTTTATTTTCTGTAAAATGAAGGCAAGAAGAGCATTAAGAGCATTGAAAGGATTAGTGAAGCTACAAGCATTAGTAAGGGGTCACAATGTGAGAAAGCAAGCCAAAATGACTTTAAGGTGTATGCAAGCTCTGGTTCGAGTTCAGTCTCGTGTCCTTGACCAACGTAAACGCTTGTCTCATGATGGTAGCCGCAAATCCGCATTCAGTGATAGTCACTGTGGGTTTGAATCTCGTTATCTTCAAGACATTTCAGACCGACAATCCATGGTTAGTAAATGGACCACCCTTCTACTTGTTACTTCAACTTAAGCATAATATATAAAGGCTTTACTTTGACATGTTTTGGTCTATATATATTGTCAAGTTTCCGGATAGTTTGAGTATTGTCTTGTAATATAGCCTGGTCAGGAATGAGCTAGAGAGTTTGAGAACATTTCTTTTCTTTTTTTGGATTACATTTTTTGGTTATATTATTGTTATAGTCAAGAGAAGGAAGCAGCGTCCCGGAAGATTGGGATGACCGACCGCACACGATAGACGAAGTGAAAGCTATGCTGCAACGGAGACGTGACACAGCATTGAGACACGAGAAGACTAATTTGTCTCAAGCTTTCACTCAACAGGTAATATTAACTAAAACTGAAAAAGTATTATTATCATATATATATCGAACTTCTTGATAAAACCTTTTCATTTATTTTTGCTGAAAAGACGTGGAGAACGACCGGTAGCCAATCAGCAGGAAGAGACCACAGGGCAGAACTCGAGGAGGAAAGACCGAAATGGCTTGACCGGTGGATGGCCACTAGACCGTGGGATAAACCACCTATTAGTAGAGCTTCGGTTGATCAAAGGGTTTCAGTTAAAACCGTGGAAATCGACACTTCTCAACCTTACGCAAGAACAAGAACCGGAAGCCCGAGCCGTAGCCAAAGACCTAGTTCCCCATCAAGAAGCAGCCATCATTACCAACCCCGCAGCAACTTCTCAGCCACTCCATCTCCAGCTAAGTCTAGACCGATCCATATCCGGTCAGCTAGTCCGCGGTGCCAGAGAGACCCTAGGGATGACTATGACCGAGGAGCTTATAGCTATACATCAAACACACCTAGCTTGAGATCTAACTATAGTTTCACTGCTAGGAGTGGTTGTAGCATTAGTACCACAATGGTCAATAATGCAGCATTGTTGCCTAATTATATGGCCAATACAGAGTCGGCTAAGGCGAGGATTAGGTCCCAGAGCGCGCCTAGGCAGCGACCTTCGACTCCAGAGAGGGACCGGGCGGGTTTGGTCAAGAAACGGCTCTCATTTCCGGTCCCTCCGCAACCGGAGTATGATGACATTAATAGTTTGAGGAGTCCAAGCTTTAAGAGTGTGGCTGGTTCACACTTTGGTGCGTTGTTGGAGCAGCAATCGAACTACTCTTCGTGTTGCACTGAGTCTAATGGTGTTGAGGTCTCACCAGCTTCTACTAGTGACTATAGGAATTGGCTTAGATGACTGTCGGTGTTGCCAAATCAGAGGTCACAATCTGTTGTCATCCCTCCAAGAAAAACGTTTTTTATTTGATGTATTTGACTTTTAAATTTAAGTCGTTGAAGTTGTGTTGTATTTGGAAATTTACCTTTGAGAATGAATTAATTGTTATGTAACTTAAAAAAAAAAGATATGAAAGGTTATGAAAACTAAATTTGATTAAAACTTATTGGTAGGATAAATACATTGAGGTTAGTGGAGTTGTACAAGAATATTTGTTTGTATTTCAAAGCTAGCATTGCATATGTTACTTTGAAGCAATTTTAAATAACTTACCTCCAACTGACTTTTGAGAAAAACGAAAACAAAAAGTGACATATCACTAATTTTTTATAGATTTTTTGCCTTTTACAGGAATAACTTTCAGATAAAAAGTATTGAATCTTCCACTTCGGCCCCAGAATTTACGTATTTGATGATTTTGATGCAAAAGTGAAATCTTTTAGTAAGAAGTTAGCTAAAAAGGAAAAAGAAAAGCTGCAACTTTGCAACTTGAAGCACGAGGAGAGGACATCACCCATGTGACATGATTCCCATCAATCACAAGTCTTGTCATTTGACGTTTACACACATTCCGTATGTATCACCTGTGACGAAATTATATTTTAATAGAATCTCTTCTTTTTTACCCTTTTCAAACTCTTCTATTATTTTGTAATCCGAAATTGTCAATGATGTCTAAAACAAGTGAAACCCGAAATGTTGATTAGCATGTCACATGTATTCGAAATACGACAATGATAATGTTCTTAGGTACCAAAACTGGCAAACTAACAAAATAATCGACATGTAGATAAGCATCTTCTGCAAAAAAAACAGCAGGGACTGCGATTTGTAAGATGCGGTATGGTATGGCCCATACCTTACATAATAGCTATACTGGGCCTATCTAGTAAAAGCGATGGACATTTTACACTAAAGCCGAAAGACAAAATTTTCTTTAGTAAAACATAATTATTGGAGATGCGGGGTATCGATCCCCGTACCTCTCGCATGCTAAGCGAGCGCTCTACCATCTGAGCTACATCCCCACCTTGCTTCTTAGTTCTTAATCCATAATATTCAAAATTTTACTTTACATTGGGGCCGTAAGAAAACAATATTAATGGTGACGTTGAACTTATGGCATTAAAGTGCATGAAAGACTTCAAAGATGGCACTATCCGCATGTTCCTGGATAATATGTTTTACTCTTGTAATTTAACGACTATTTAATTACAAATTTTCTGCGACATCAAACGTCTGACATGTTTTTTTATGTAAATGTTAATGTTTTTGCTTTTTTTTTTGTTGTTATATATTTTTGCTATTTGTAGGCAGCAACCAATTATGCAGATGATCTTTCAACGACCTCGAGGGCTGGACCTATAAGTGCTGATCTTGATAAGTTATTAATATAGATCAAGACTTTGAAGAACCAAGAGAATTTTGTAATGAATATGTTTTCTCGTTCCGCTATACTGGAAGGAGTTTATAATGTGGTCGAAATTTGACATTATAAAATGGTTGAATCTTCAAAAATGTTAAAATACACTAATCTGCAGTATATAATAAGGCATCGAGAAATTGGAATTGAATAAAACCACCTTAGATTAGTAGATTACGAAGAAGATACGACGACGACATATGTCTGTCTTTTGACAAATTTTCAATTTTCTGGTTTACCATAGTATCCAAAATCAACTAACATATACCAAACACACATTTGTAGAATTAATTAAATTATAATCTTCATTTGACAGCTTACTTACATAAAAATATATAATAACATCAAGAAGTAGACAACAATTACATAATAAGACAGATCACTATACTCCACCCAACCGGTCCAACCAATCATTGCACAGTCTTCACCGGATAATCCTCAATCGAACCAGCCCACGCATTACCCGTCATCTCCTCCGTCGAAACCGCTCGTAACGCTTTCCAAACAGCACTGTTACACTTGAAACCAGACCCAAACGCAATCTGCCAAAGTCGATCACCTGTTTTAACCCGACCCTTAGCTTCGGTATAAGCCATCTCATACCACAACGAACTACTCGAAGTGTTACCAAACCGGTGCAAAGTCATCCTAGAAGGCTCCATATGCCAATCTTTAAGATCAAGATTCTTCTGAACCTCGTCAAGAACCGCTCTACCCCCTGCGTGTATACAGAAATGCTCAAAAGCTAGCTTGAAATCAGGAATGTACGGCTTCACTTTGAGTTTGAACAGCTTCCTTTTGGCCAACGAAATCAAAAACATTAACTGTTCCGACAATGGAAGGACCATCGGTCCTAACGTCGTGATGTTTGTTTTTAAAGCATCTCCCGCCACGGACATAAGCTCCTTAGATAAAGAAACACCGATCGTTCCTCTCTCGTCTTCCTTCTGGTACACGCAATTGTAGTTCTTGTCGTCTGATCCTTTATGCGTCCGCACGACGTTAACTAACTCGTACTTTGACTTAGACCGGTCTTGTCTGCGGTTAGAGAGGAGAATCGCTGCGCCTCCCATTCGGAAGATGCAGTTGCATAGAAGCATTGACCTGTCGTTACCAAAATACCAGTTTAGGGTTATGTTTTCCGTGCTAACCACGACAGCGTAAGAGTTAGGGTTTGCTTTGAGGAGACTGTTGGCTAGATCGATTGAGATTAATCCCGCGGAACAGCCCATTCCTCCAAGGTTGTAGCTTTTGATGTCTTCTCTCATCTTGTAGTGGTTCACAATCATCGACGATAGAGACGGCGTCGGATTGAATAAGCTGCAGTTTACGATCAAGATTCCTATTTCAGCCGGTTTAATTCCGGTTTTCTCGAAAAGGGAATCTAGTGCTCCGAACATAACGGCTTCAGCTTCAGCACGTGCCTCCGACATGTTTAGCTTCGGGGGAGTTGAGGTTATGCCACGTGGTAGATAGGTTTCGTCTCCTAAACCGGCCCGGTTCGAGATTCTTTGCTGGAACTGAACCGAGTCATCGGTGAACGCTCCGTTTTCCTCCGTCATCTTCAAGAACGAATCCACGGACATTTTGCGCTCGTCTTCCGGTTTGTAGCAGGAGAAATCCACTAGGTAAACCGGTTTAGACCGGTTAGTCACGTAGAGGGTCAAAGCGAAGCAGAGGAAAAAGGAGCAGGTGAGTCTTGTTGATCCCTCGAGTTGGAGCCCCCGATTAGACCAAAGCTCGGAGAATGTATCCAAAGTTAGGCCGGTTAGCTGAACCAGGACGGTTCCGGTTAAGGGGAGAATGATGAGGAAGAAGAGAAAGGTGGTGAAGTTGCATGAGTTGTGAAGTCCAAGCTTCACGTACTTAAGCTTAACAGACGTTAATAAATCCGGCAAATGTCTTTGGATTCGTATAACGGCGGATGAAGAATCTCGGAACGCCATCTCCGCCGTTAATCTTTCTTGATCCATTTCTATGTTGTTTGTTTTCTCCGTCATTTTAGGTAGAAATATTTCAAACTGGATTAAAAAATGTGTATAGTGATTATTCGCTTATGCAATTCTGGAGAAAGAGAGAAAATGATGAAGGAAAATATACAAAATGGTAAATCTGGATGATTTTCGTGGAATTAGGGAGAGTGCAGGTGAAGAGATATATAGAGTTGCTATTAAGTGCAAGAAAGAGAAAATACTATATGTTTAAATAATACGACTATAAGAGTATTTATTAATTTGTAACCAAAAAAAAAGAGAGGATGGAATAAATATTCGAAATTAATGGTGGGTGGTTCCGAGATACTATTTAGCTCAACTACTTAAATGGGACCTTGATATTAAATTAAGTAGTCAGATTATTCGTCACTTCTTGTCACACGAAATGCAAATGATGAATAGTACATTTTCAAAAGTCTTTCAACTCCCAGCTGAACACACACACGTATGGTTAGATCATAAATCTAGGTTTCTGTTTCACACATAAACTTGGGCATCCTAACTTTCTATTTTTGTTTAGCCTACTCCCTTTTACTTGAGTGCTACAACACAGTAACCAAGTATGACATGTTTAGCAGATACATTGTTTATCCAGGACTGAGTCTGAAAACTAACCATTAATTATTACAAAGTTGAAAAAATATGTTGTAAACTTGTTGTAAATTTGAAGGAAATGTGTTTGAGACACGTTTCTTTGTTCATGAGAAGCGTTCCCTTTCCCAATTGCAACTCCAAGGGTAGACGAAAGCGTGTCCCCAAATATTCAAATTTCCTATTTTTATGTAATATTCTCGCTTGCATGCAAACTCCTCTCTGTATAAACCATGATATATTGACAATGGGTTGTATTACTTCTTAACACTAGCACGTTTCGTTTTTCTCCATTATATACCCATCCAAATTCAATGTTTCGATATTGTTGTCAATATCATTTAAATTTAAGCTGTCTCTACTAAGACGTTGATGTAATGAATAAAACTCCACGTATTGTTTTTATTAACAAGTAATGTTTGTCTGCCAATGAATTTCGATATTATCTTGAGTTAAATTGCTAAAATAGTATTGTGAAATTATTTTAGCATTATAGATGTTAATGTTAACAATATTAAAGTGACTAGAAATCTAACAGTTCCTGTCCATCAACATTGTGGAACTGTATTTATAGTTATCAAGTGTCTTTATTTAATTAAAATAAATAAATTTGATTGTGCCAACTGCCAAGGCGTAAAGATGGACACTGAAGGGCAGAGACAGAGGATTAGATTTAGTATTCCAAGTAAAGTGAGCAGGATCCTCTAAGAATTTGGAATAAGTAATTTCAAAGTTGCAATAATTCAGAGGATTTAATTATAAATGTCGTTTATATTTTTAAGATAAATATTAAATATTTTTTTCAGTTTTTATTCTTATTCTTATTCATAATTCAGTAATTAACAGAATCAAACAAATTGATGTATAAATATGGATAAAATAGAAAATTTTATTATTTTCTTAATTTGTATATAAAAATTTTAAACAACATTTATAATGAAACGAATGAAGTAGCAATATGACGAGTTGCTTTTTCGGACATATGAGTTATTGTTATTATTATTTTGAACAAACCTAACTTAAAATTATTTTAGTTACTCAATAATATTGATAACTTTATATCTTTGAACCTTAGCTTAGTTAACATCGTTTTATATATTGTGAAATCATTTCAACTTACAACATTTTACTCGTGCATGAAATACAAACCTACTTATGTTATCTTACCTAGCTACTAACTAGTATTGAAAGAACTGAAAAAACATAGATTAAACTACTTACCTTGTAGATTGAAATGATTATCAGGTTATATTGATTATCAATATATCATAAAAGTATATATATAGGACTATAGGAGTTTCTGTAATATAAAAAAAGGTTTATGTAATCGACGTCAAACTTGATGAGCGTAACAAGAGCTAAAAAGGTGCCGTACTAAACTATTTAAATGCAATATCCCAGTAGATCAAAGTACTTGATGTGTAGATTAAATGAAAGAATGATGATAATAAATGGACTAGTAATTTCAGAAAAAAAAAATGGACTAGTTGCCCATGTGTAGGACTTAGACGAACAGTTAATATTGGTCGGCCTAATACCAACTAACAAGAAACCAGTTCGTCATCAATGTATGAATAAAATACAGAAGATATACCTTCACATACAGTGTATAAAACTTGACTAGCAATTTAAATGGTTGTAACATTAATAAACGATATCGAATACATAGAAACGAGTGGAACAGGGTTGTTGATATTGGCAGTACGATAGTATACGCACACTACAGCGTCCTTTAATGAACCAGTAACAATTCAAGCAACAAGACAAAACATTACCATTTTTAAAAACTATCGATGGTATAAATTTGGATATAAATTAATGTAAATATTTGTTTACGGAATGTTCCAACTGTAATCAAATAGTAAATTTCCCGAGTTTTTATGAAACAATCCCTTTATTACTGGATTCTGAATAACTGAGTCAATTAACTCAAAGTAAACCAAACCGAGATTTGAGGAATATTCCATGTGGATCTACCTTCATAGCCCACTAGGTTTGGCAATTTGTTGTTATCTACTAGTTTCTTTGAAGGTTCATTTTACAGTTTCAGTTTGTTGAATTCCCTTTTTTTCCATTTAATTGAATGTTGCTTTTGAATAGAACAACTTGCTAATGAACTTATTAAGCTTTATGCTTTTGAGCTGCTCCATCAGTATTCCAGACTACATCCTTTAATCCAGATGAGAAGGTTTTGTAAAACTGCAAAACAGATTATATATAAACCCAATTAGAAAACCAAACCAATTATAGATGCTAACCGACCGGTTCATGAAGAGTAAACCGAAACACATACCTTGTGAAACTCGAGGGTATCACCCCCGGTTTTCCTAAGCTCTACCACATGCAATGATGGTGCCACTTCAAACACCTGTTAAACCGAATAACAAAACCAAAATAATTAAATAAACCCCCTGCAGAACCAAACCTAACCAGAATGTTCATCTCTATTTATTTATGGTTACCTCTGTAGCAACTGAGAGCTGGCCTTTACGACCACTTTTGTCTCCTTTCATCTTTATCTGCGATTTGATTTAACAATCTTTAATGGAGCCAAAAGACATACATGGACTAACACATACAAAATCAAGAACTCTAACAAACCTTGTACTTGTCTTTACGGACATTGAAGCCTAATGGCTTTGCTGTTTCTTCCATCTTCGACATTATTTCGCTCGCAGATCGGTTAGAGGTAAACCGAGTCTCTTTCTTCACAAGTTGCTGCAAAGTTCCACAACCAAAACAATTAGACAAACCTGTGCATGATTTTAGACAATCATCAAAACAAATAGCAAGTAAAAAGTGGTTCATACGGCTTGCTTCTCGAACAAGTTTTCAAGACTGAACTCGTTTGAGCTAGAGATAAGTTCAAAAGCGTTCATCGATTCAGGTTTCTCCTTCTTCTCTGTTACAAGACATTCCTATAGTAGCAATACGAAAGAGTGATTATTAGTTGGTTGGTAACACAACTAATAAAATCAGATAAAGATTGAGAAATGGCGGTTATGCACCTTGGAGTTACTGAAAGCAGCATCAACATCATCAATGTTGATGTCCTCATCATCTTGCTCAAACGATGGCGGCTTGTACCCTTGCTTGAACCATTCATCTTCTAGTAACTCTGCGATACTTATTCTCTGCAATTAAAGAAACCCGTGTTTGTTAAGCTCTTGAACACAGCTTAGACCATTTCGCAAATTAATTCTAATTGAAGAGTTCTTTAGCTGCTTACGGTTATAGGGCTAGGATCAAGAATACGATTAATGACTCTCTTGGCACCTGTCGAGAACCATGGTGGGCAGTTGAATTCAGCCTTACATATCTGGAGTTGAAAACCAAACATGAGATTAGAAAATAGTAACAAGAATATGAAGAGAAGCTTGTTACTACACGTACACGTTTATATAATGTCATGAGATTCGGCTCATCAAAGGGCAAGTAACCAGCCATGAGCACAAATAGAATAACGCCACATGACCAAACATCTGCTGCTGCACCGTCATAGCCTTTGTCCGACAAAACCTGTCCCCCAAAAAGATGCAGAAGAGATTAGACTCATAATATTTGATGAACATTATAAAATATTTATCTCATTTTCTGCTACTACATTTTCTAAGACGAAATAGCAGTTCTTGAAATCTTTAAAATCTTTATTGTTGTAGCTTATTCTAACACTTCATATGCATTGCCTTTTTAGTGCTGAAACTTTTTAATATGTACCTCAGGAGCAACATAGTTGGGCGTCCCACAAGCTGTGTGAAGCAAACCATCTTCCTGCATTCACAAGAATGGTGCGTAGTGCTTACAACAATCAATATTTCTTGGGGGGGAAAAAAAGATTGATATCTTTTTTTTTAAAACACTTGATGGATCAAATGGCTTACCCGAACTTGTAGTGCGAAAGCGCTTAAGCCAAAATCAGAGACTTTTAAAACCCCATTTGCGTCAAGGATAAGATTTTCAGGCTGCAAAAAGGTCAAGCAAACATATATAGGTTGAGAAGCTTGAACATGATGAATATCATTATCATCATATAAAAAAGTCCACAAGAAAAAAAAAAAAAAAAAAAGACCTTGAGATCTCTGTGGTAGACCCCTCGACTGTGGCAGTAATCAACGGCATTGATGAGTTGCTGAAAATATCTCCTAGCTTCATCCTCCTTAAGTCTCCCTTGTTGAGCCTATTTGTGATTCATATCCAAGAATGAAGTTAGTAAATAAAAACAGAGGAAATTCAACAGAGAACATCTAGATATTTGTGAAGAGGAAAATAAAAGAAAAAAATTCTCAAGGTAAGCCATTAGATTTGATTTAACATGGTGAAAGAGTAAGAGCAAAATAGTATGGATTAGATGCTTACGATTTTATCAAAGAGTTCACCTCCGTTGACAAGCTCAAGAACGATATAGATCTTCGTTTTGCTTGCCATAACCTGCACACACCAAATGTCACATATAGAGGATTCTTGGCACGCTAAGACTTATTACACAGATATGTTTTGAAAACATTAAAAAGCCACTAGCTTCTTACCTCAATGATTTCAACCACATTTGGATGTTTAATCAGTTTCATCGTCGATATTTCTCTTTTAAGCTGCACCCCAAAGAAAAATGAAATTAAGTCGTTATATATCTTAAAGATCATGCACATAACCACTTTCAAAATAAAGGAAGCTACTCTAATTCAAAACCATATCCATGCGCTATCATTGTCGTGATCAGTGTGTATGTACTACGACAGATTCCATGATCGTCAAATCCATAAGCTAGATGATTCTTATATTCTAATCCTTGTTTATCTGGAATGTTTTTAAAAAGTGTAACTAATCATTAACCTAAGAAAACACCTAGAGTAACATCTTCCTCGGACAAGTGGGTCCCTAATCACGAACTCAAACTATTACTAGAATATGTAGTAAGATTACGTATAGGTTTACGTACGAACCTGTTCGACCATTTTGTGACGTAGAACCTTATCGCGGTCGAGGATTTTAATAGCGGCTAAATCTCCAGTGACGGTGTTTCTTGCGTATTTGACCTTAGCGAAGCTACCTTCGCCTAGAGTTCGTCCAATCTCGTAGTTCCCCACTCGCGTCCTGCTCGCCGGCGTCGTCCTCTTTCTACTCCCCATCATTTTACTCTCTTCCTAAACGAAGATCAAGGCAAAAAAAAATCACAATAACAAAAAGACTCAAAAGAACTTAAGAGTTATGATTCTCTCTCTTTCTAGTGGATGGATGGATGGTGGGAATATATCGAAGCGGACGAGGGAGAGTTGTAATAGGAAGAGTGGGATTCACGCGCATAATCTGGGTCCCACATGCACTTGACGATAACACATTAGTTTCTGTTCCGTGTCCTTCCCGTGTATGGATTTTACGTACGTCTTTTTTTTTTAGATAAGATTTTACGTACGTTTACATTCATTTCTTGTGTGTGGTAATTTATAAAAACTGTAATCTAGTTTTGAGGTTCAGAATTTGGATTATATAACAGATCTTGGGTATTCTTAAAAATTTGTGGATATGGTTTTATGAGTTGCAAGGTTCAAATGTTTTTTTTTTGTGTGTGGTGGATTCTATAACATACATTGTGGTCAATCTTCTTCTCTTTTTTGTTATTTGTATATTCACAAAGTACAGATTTTTTTTCAATAGTCTGACGTTGGAAAGTATCTCAAACAAAAATGATAGTAAGGTAGATGAATTATATTTCAGTTTATGTTAAATTCAAAATTAGAAATCAGTTCTTGACTCTTGTCTTTTTAAATATATGATTACCACAAGTTTTTTTTTTTTTATTTGCAATCATTTATGTAACTGTAGTAGATTTTATTTCTATAAAAAAATTTAGAAAAAGAGATGATTGAAATAGTTGATCTTTCCATGTGAGTAAAAGTAATTGTGAACCCCACATGAATCATTCTTGATAAACTCAGATGACACAGAATGTGATAATGTTTTTTTTTTAATAAATTTGATTGATATGAGAATACAGCCAAAAACGTAGAAAAATTGTGGCGGACAGTGAGTTAAATGAGTTATGGCAAAAATAATAATGATACAATATCCTTTTTAAAAAACATTTCACGAATAAAAAAGGAAATAATGCAGACTGAACCACTCATTCAATAATTGAGTCTGTTATAAGTTTTTTATTTTTATCAAAAGTCGGGTACAATAATATTCACGTCGCCATCACATGAAAGCAATTAGATTTGGTTATCAAATTGAACTTCTTCAATCCAAATTTAGTTTTATATACTTTTGTTTTTGTTTGTTTGTAAAGTTTTCATTTGCCTATAAATTATTCGATTGATACGAATAAACTCTTTTGTATGAAAAAATAAGTGATCTCATCTTGTTTAAAAAAAAAATGGACCAGCGGAGGTTACTGGGCTGGACCTACCCAATTAGCCAGAAGCATCGTAATGTTAACTTATTCGACACCTAATGGGCCTTTAATATACACATTAGGGCCCAAATATGTTAACTTATTCGTTACTATTATACTTCTTTGTTATATATATAAAAGGAAATAAGACAGAGATTTGGTCATAAAATCAGAAGAGACGTCGTCGTAGACAATTAGGCGAATCAAAGTGAAGGAAGGATAATCTATAAATAAATATATATATTTGTGGGAATCCTGTGCAATCATTTCGTGTGCGCGTGCGTGCAAATCTCTCTAGGGTTTGTTTATTGGATTGAAGAAGATGCAGCAGTCTCCGCAAATGTTTCCGACGATGGTTCCTTTGATGCCCCCAACTAACATCACCACTGAACAGATCCAAAAGGTCTCTTCTTTCTATGGCTTCTTGTGATTTTAGTGAAGCTTACGGTTATTTCGTGGTAGTTTTTTTGTGTGAAAGTGTCTAGCTTTGTTAATATTTTACTCAGATAGGAATCTCAAGAGTGGAAGTGTGTGTACTCTGCTTCTAATTAATGTCACTGAACTGTTCTGTTCTGGTTATATATGATACAAGAGTTGGGTCTGTCTTCTTGGTTATTTTCCTGCTTTGTTTTTGTTTATTAAACTTAATAGTCATGTTTTGGACATTGAGGTTAGATGTTTTGGTGGGTTTTGGTTGTTGTTTTGTGCATCTTCTCCTTCACTTTTATTTAATATTTTTCATCTGATTTTTCATTTGCTTAAATTCAGTATCTTGATGAGAACAAAAAGCTGATAATAGCGATCATGGAGAACCAGAATCTCGGGAAACTTGCTGAATGTGCACAGTAAGTGCCTGTCTCTTCTTTTTCATATCCCCGTCTCCCATCTCTTGAATATATTAACCGAGTCCGTTAATATATTCAGGTACCAAGCTCTTCTCCAGAAGAACTTAATGTACCTCGCTGCAATTGCTGATGCTCAACCTCCTCCACCTACACCAGGAGCTGCACCTGCACCAGCACCAGCAATGGCCTCCCAGGTTCTTGATAAAATTCAGTCAGGATCATTTAACATATACACATATATTCATATTGGATTTTCTTATCTATTGTGTGTGATTTCTGTTAGATGACGGCACCACATCCTTCGATGCAACCGCCTAGCTACTTTATGCAACAACACCCACAAGCTTCAGGGATGGCTCCACAAGCATCTCCCGCCGGTATTTTCCCTCCTAGAGGTCCTTTGCAGTTTGGTAGCCCACACCAGCTTCAGGATCCGCAACAGCAACAGCAGTTGCAGATGCATCAACAAGCTATGCAAGGACACATGGGGATGAGACCAATGGGCATCAACAACAGCAACAACGGGATGCAGCATCAGATGCAACAACAACCAGAAACCTCTCTCGGAGGAAGTGGTGCAAACGGTAACTCTTTTGTGTTATCAACAAATACTCAAACTCATAATCTTCTAAGCAATTTAACTCAATTGCTTAGCTTCTTGTGATTTTGTTCATATTCCTTAACTTTTAAAACTGACAGTGGGGGTTAGAGGAGGCAAGCAAGATGGAGCAGGTGGACAAGGAAAAGATGATGGCAAATGAAAGGATCCAAAGAAGCTTTGTTTTGTTTATATTTTAGGATTTGTGCTTTCTTCCGAGTATCATTAGGACTTTTCTGCATCAGTTTTCTTGAGCTTTTTATTTATTTATCAGAAGATAGACTCTGTGGAGTAGTGTTTCCACAAACGGTGTTGTAATGATATTTAGTACAAGTTCAGCTTTGGTTTAGAAACATCATATCATTATATTCTTATTCATCTTAACGCTTACAACCAAAAGCATTGATATTTCTCTTTTAATCCCTTATTCTGGACGAGACTTGACGATGAAATTCTGACGGCTAATAGGATTCATGACGACGGGAGGTCCAGCGGTTCTTGGCCACGCCTGGAACTTCTCATCTGTGGCCTTCCACCATTCCTTGTTAGCGACGGTTCCTGGAGTACTCCCTGAAGTTGAATTTCACCATAAGTATATCATTAAGATGGTATCCAAGTTATGATGATGAGTGTCCAAAAAAGAAGAAAACTTGCCTCCAAAGATCTTATTATCAGAGATAAGTTTGTCAAAGAGGTATGAGATTCCGAAAGAGCCGATGAGAGCACCGACTATGTACTTGGCTTTGCCTCCTGTTGATGTTGCCATTTTTCTTCTAACCTGAAAAGAAACTCACAACACTCAAGAGGATCTGCAAAAACAGAAGCAACATAGAACAAGAAGAAAAGGAATAGGTAAACTAATCTCTCTCTCTCAGTAAACAAAGACTAAGACAGGAAGATCGTCACAGAATATTCATTGATTCCTGTGGGAAATGAAAGCTTTACTTATCAAACATCAAATGAAAACGAAACCAAGTTCCAGAGATGTGTCTGAAGAAGCAACTTACAAAACCAATAGGTGAACTATACATCAGAGAGTTACCTTTTGTCGATTCAGAGACAGTGAAGCTTACACAGTTGACTAGTTGGTTCTCGAGCTCAAAGGTGGATGATCAAAAATCTTTTTCAACACTTATCCTCTTATCTTTAGAAACTTTTATCGAAAACGGACAAGCTTTTCTGAAATTACGAAAGTGGTCATAGTTTCGAGAAGAATCGTCTCACTTGCGTGTCCGAAGCCCAAAATGGGCACATGTATATTTACAGCCCGTGATGTTTGTCTTATTGGATATTTGGATCCATCATTACATTTGTTTTTTTTTTGTTATATCGCGTTCTACTTCTAACCAAACCGGTTTAACAAACGGAACAGACCTATAATTTTAGTATTTAAGGATAAAGCTGATCATTTTGATTGTAAATGACTACATCATGCGTAACGTTCTACACACGTAAAGCCAAATAAACTAGTCTCTATATCAACAAACTTAGTTGGCGTGTTGATTTACAGACTTTACTAGATTTCAATAATCCAGATAATTATAAGTAGTCATGTGTTATTCAATTATCGATTTTCCAAAAATTTCTTAATATTAAAATTCTCAGCTACTGATCGTTGACTTTCAAATCTTTTTATCTAGTTACGATTTTCATCTCTACTTCATTCTTTTCAAAGACTTTTGATTGATCATGAAGGAGTATCAGCGTTTTCCTCACAGACATGAAGTCCTCCTCCAGTTCTTGAAAACCAAAACAGCACTCGTTATCTTCATACTATTAACTTATGTCTTTGGTTACTTGACCGCTTACTACAACCATCAACCATTACACGTGTCCGTGCCACCACCAACATCAACAACTGTCTTGAAGACCGTCAAGGCCACAAAACCTCGCGGTTGCCTAGTTGACAACTTCCGTGTAACGACTCGCTGCGGCGAACTTGTCCCGCCTGAATCAATCCGACAAAAGGTTGTCGACAAGCTCTTCAACGGAACTTCACCGTACGTTGACTTCCCGCCACCGCACGCCGGAAAATATCTCCGGTCAAAACGTATCAAAGGCTGGGGGTCTTACGGAGCTTAATCCGACAGGTCAAACCTCGGACGATCGTCGAAGTCGGAAGCTTTCTCGGTGCCTCGGCGATTCACATGGCTAATCTCACGCGCCGACTTGGACTCGAGGAGACTCAGATTCTGTGCGTTGATGATTTTCGTGGCTGGCCCGGTTTTCGAGACCGGTTTAGAGACATGGCGTTGGTTAACGGCGATGTTTTGCTTTTGTATCAGTTTATGCAAAATGTTGTTAGCTCGGATTTAACCGGTTCGATTTTACCGGTTCCGTTCTCTACTGGTTCGGCTTTGGAGAAGCTGTGTGAGTGGGGTGTGACGGCGGATCTGGTTGAGATAGACGCGGGTCATGATTTCAATTCGGCTTGGGCTGATATAAACCGGGGGGTTAGGATACTTCGACCAGGAGGAGTTTTGTTCGGTCACGATTATTTCACCGCAGCGGATAATAGAGGAGTGAGGAGAGCTGTTAATTTGTTCGCAGAGATTAACCGGTTAAAAGTCAGAACCGATGGTCAACACTGGGTTATCGAATCTGTTAATGTAATTTGATTCCCTTTTTTCTTATACAAAATAAACATGGCAGAGTTTAAAATGCCATGCATAATGAGAAAAATGGATGATTCTGAATTCAAGAAAACAGATTGGGAAGTATATACTATTATTTGAGAACTAAAATTGACGATTTGTCATATTATCTATTATTTAGATAATTTTATATATTTATCGAATTTAGAATAATTTTGATTGATAAATCATCAATTTAAATTTATACAAAACATTTTAACGTTATATTATTATTAAAAATTATTAAATAAATAGAGATAATGAGTATGATAGAAGTCTAAAGATCTTTAAAAATGATTTTGGTGAGCTACAATAATTACAAACTTACCTAGAGCCATACTTGTATTAGGAGATATCATAGCTTAATATAGATTATTTTTTAAAAGAGATTTTGATTAGTGGAAGCTCAATCATTTGTAAATTTTATATATTATGTGTTCATAATTTTGTTATTGTGCTTCAGTCTTTCTCAAAAAAAAAAAAAAAAAATATATATATATATATATATATATATATATATAAATTTCATCATTATAATAAGGTTGACAATATTGTAATGATCAAAATTTTAAGATTTTCATATGTATAACACATTTTAAAAATAATTAAATAAGTGAAATTGTAATAGTTATAATATAATTTTAAAAATATATTTTCAAAAAGGTTAGGTAATATATATATTATATTAAATTTCTACAAATTTTCAAATTTCTTTTTACAGATTATGTGGCTTAATGTTTTAATATGTATTATCTTATTTTAAATAGCTAATTATAGTTTGTTATAATGAAATAGTATTATATTTGATTGTAATTTACATGATTTTTCATTTTCATCAGAATATGAATCTGTAGTTATAAAACAAACAAAATCATATACATACAAAAGTTACTTCAAAATATCTAAATTTATAGATATATTTTATTATCATCCTAATTTTATTAACTAATATATTATGTTTAATAAAAAAAATCAATGTCTTGAGAATGCTTAGTCGGATTTCTTATGTTATATTTCAGAATGTCTTGAATTAATCTAATATTATTGATTAGTTATGTACACAACTAAATTATAATTAGTAATTAATAATGGTTAAAATTCAAAAATAAGTTTATATTATATGTCCAGATATTATAATAGAATTTTTAGAACTTACATATTAGATATATATTACAATTCATACATGGTAGTAAGTTTCAAAAAAAAAAAAATCATATGCTAGTTTCTCTTTATTTATTTTTTATTTTTTTCATAACTATGAGATGTATGTGTTAGCATATTAGTATAATGAAATACAATTTAATATTATTCTTCTATTACTAATAAATCAATATCAACAAATTTAATTTATCAAAGTTATTAAAAATTCAAATATATACAAAACTTATTTAGTGTAAGTGTATTTAAGTGATATTATCCGTGTGATATCATGGGAAGTCATCTGGTTTTACTGTCTAGGTTTATTAGTAAAACAATGCGGGTAAACAGTAAAAGAGATAATTCACTTTTTTGTTCATTTAGAAGTTAAAACTCCTTCTTTCTTACAAAGTGTTGTTTTAGAAAAAAATGTCCACGTCGTGAAATTTGTCTTGAATTTTTATGTTTCATCACTTATACACATCAAAAAATAAAAAATAAAGAACACCACAGCACATGTACATAGAGCCTAGAGGAGACCGAAAATTAGTTTTTCAGCCCAATTATATGTACGTGCTTATATTTTAAGGCCCGTATGCCTTCATTACCATCTTGGATGTTTTTGTTATGAGTTTGAATGTATCCAAATATCGCCTCGTAAATTTGGAAAACATCGGTCTAAGAATAGAATTTGTAATTTCCATAACAACCAGACGTTTTTTTCAAAACTATTTTACAAGTTTCAGTAAGGAAAAAAACTGCAGTCTAACTTAGATCTTCAACCGTATATTCTTCAATCATCAACATAAGATATTCATATATAATTAATATCTTATAAGGTAAACGTACTTTAGTTTCAAAACCATGTAGAACGATATAACGAACCAAAAATAAAAAGAAGAAGAACGAAAACGAGCCGAAAATATGTGAATCTACTCTTAAGAAACGATGTATGAAAGACTCAAAAGATTTGTGACAAGTAATTATAAGCTCAGAGTTGATAAAATGTGGTGATCAGAGGCAATAACATGTTAGGGGGGATGAAGCCTGGTCCGAGAATACTCTATATACATATATGATCAATGATTGTATTAACATATATACGTATCCGTGTATATATAGTATCCTCGTTCCAGACAACATTCCCCTCAACTGAAATAGCTTCATTAGAATTCTCATCATAATAATCACAATATTTTAGTAGATTCCCACTTGTTCTAGAGAGAGAGAGAGAGAGAGAGAGAGAGAGGAGAGAAGAGGTGGGTGAATGGTGATGATGGTGTTATGATGAGGGAATGATGAGTGGCGGAGGAGAAGAAGGGCTTTTAATAAGACACAACTCATCATTCGTAAACCCTAGCTAGCTTTTGAAAAGGAAATATTTTAATATCAAAGCAATTAATGCATATACTAGTATATTTTTCTGAATAAGTCACACGTTTTACTTGGCAAAAGATTTGCTTGATGTAAAAAAGGATATTTTCATTAACCTTTACTCAGTATAACGATTATGGTTACCATAACTAACTCATGGAAACATTTTTGCGATTATAATGATTTTTGATAATTTACTGGCCGCAAAATCATTGTCATTTTAATTAAAAAATATATGAACGATTTTTACAGAGCTGAGTTGTTGTTTTGTAACTTTGTACGAATTTACAAAGTTTTCTCTCATTACGAGTTATATATTCCTTTCTCATGTTAAAAGAGTTCTAGACATTTGACCCAAAAAAGAGTTCTAGACATTTAGTCCATTCTTCTTTTTTCGTCAATGAACTTCAATAGTTTCCTTAGATTCGACTAGTTTCTTTTTACAAAAAACTGAAACGGTATATATATCATCTTTTCTAAAAAAATTATTTTGAATTTGAATTCACATATGGTAAACGGTAACTGTTATTATGTAACTATTCAAATTCTAAAATTATGAACTTCAAAACTAATTTCTCTAAAATGTTATATATCTAGTTAGTTAAGATTGCAAAATGTATGATGTATAGGTACGTGCATATATATAGGCGTTTTTGTGTTGTCAAAAAAAAAAAAAAATATAGGCGTTTTTGTATTATTGAAATACGAAGTAAAGAAGTTAGTCAGAAGAGTAGTTGGGTATACTGAGGATGACCAGTTAGGAAACAAAATATTTGCAATTTAATTTTGCATCACTTTTTAGGTATCCACCAACTTCATTAATTGTAAACATTGAATTTTGATAGTTGTATGCAACATTTGATTTTTTTTTTACAGTATACAAAATGTTGATATATCTATTCCACATTTTCCATATCGGCGTACTTCCTTATAATGTTTTAACTTTTGAGAGGTTTTGGATATAACGGTTTGAGTTAAAAGTGACTAATATGTTTATCTATTGTCTAAATTCTCTCACGAGGTTGATCGGGCCATCGCTGTCCGCAAATACTAGCAGCAAACAATCACAAAACATGTTATAGCTAGTACTTCCGATCCAAAAATATACATTTGAATCAGTGTTAATCTCTATGTGTCTACAGGATTATAATAAAACGATCCTTGCTTTGAATAAATTCAAACCTAAGATAGACATGATAAACTTAATATAGGATGTGTGATTAATCTACATCGACAATATTAATGTCCTCGTTCCGGAAAGGCTTTTGAATTGATGAATGTAAGCCTATATTTGACGGGAAACGAATCTAAAACTGTTTTTTTTTCTACTTTTTAATTAATTATGTTTTGTATGTAACACACTAAGTAGAATTAGTTCGAGCTATTTGGAAGTTTTCGGACAGTCGTTTACAGCAGAAGGCATGTTGTTGTTTCTACATGGCGTGGGTATTCTTTTCTCCATTGAGATTATTATATTCTCCAGTTTGATTAGTTTATGAAGGCTATATAAGCCATAAATTTATGTACTAAACATTAGTTGCATACTTAGGCTTTAAGTCATCCGTGACCAGCTAATTAGATTAATTATATAACAATAAAGCATAGTACAATAAAGTGGTTGAAGACAAACGGAAGACGATGCTTTGCTTGCTCAGTTGCTCGGTTTTGTGTTTTTAAGTTGCTCAGGATTTGGACATTCTTCTCTCGTTAATTACTCTCGTCTCATTTGCGTGACTGCGTCATTGATATTCTAATATGATATATTTATTTATATAGTAGCAGTCCATACTAATTAGTACAATTCAAAATATTCGATCAAAATCGCCTAATTCATGTATCCATTGGCCACCTAATTAACAAAACGTTTTACCGTTTTGTATCTCAAGAAACCATACTCTTACCTAATACCAAAAATTTATTGGTTACGATAATGAAAAATAATCAGAATATTTCAACAAGCAAAATATATTGGTTCAGATTTTTTTTTCCAATAGTTTAATGTTTTGGAAGTCATATATCCGTTCTGATATATTATCTGTAGAATTTATTTCAATAGAGAATACAGGTCTGGCTAGTGGCTCTTACTTCATATATGTAGCATTGTAATTAGGAACGTAATAAATATAAAGGGCAGTGTCAAGTTTGAGGCATGTCTGTCTTGTAGCTTTTCACCAACTATATCTCTACAATGGCATCAACTTTATTTGAGATATTATTTTCACATTTCATTTTAATTATCATTTTTGGTCTATACACACAAACTAAAAAATATTCAGTTTATATATATTTAAAATGAAAACATCATTATATTTCTAACTAACCAAAGTCTAACCAATAAAAAATTGACCAGAAAATATAGAGAATCATGTAATATATAATTAATAAAATTTATATTAAAATATGAAAATAATATTTATTTTGAAATAAAAATCATATTCTACAACGACAAATAAACTGAATCGAAAGAAATAGTAATCATATTAATATTTTCAATATTTAATAAAATTTCATGTCCAAAAATATTGATTAGAGCATCTCCAATGTAAAACTTTATTTTTCCTCCAAAATGGAGTAAAAGAGAATATGGAGTAAAAATGCTCTAATCCCACTCTATTTTCTACTCCATAATGGAGTGATGAAAAAAAAAAAAAAACAGATTACTCTATTTATGAAGTAAATTCTATTATGGAGAGAAAAATAGAATAGGGTTTGAGTGTTTTCTACTTCATATTCCCTTTTATTTCATTTTAGAGTAAAAAATTGAGTTGGGTTAGGTATACTCTTAGAGCATCTCCAATGTAAAACTCTATTTTTTCCTCCAAAATGGAGTAAAAGAGAATATGGAGTAAAAATGCTCCAATCCCACTCCATTTTCCACTCCATAATGGAGTGATGAACAAACAAAAAATAGATTACTCCATTTATGGAGTAAACTCTATTATGGAGTAGAATATGGAGTAGGGTTGGAGTGTTTTCTACTCCATATTCCATTTTACTCCATTTTAGAATAAACAATGGAGTTGGGTTGGAGATGCCCTTATACGTCATTCTTCAATGAATACTAGTTCATCAGTTGAGCAGAAGAAAGTTCGTTTTTAGAAAAACAAGGATTAAACCCTTGTTCTCGACTGTGCGTTTTTTTTTTATATGCCATGTCGACTGTGCATGTTTGCTGATATCTTTTACTACTTTGGTCGGTAAACATTTGTTATCTATTTTCTTTCATTCATCAAAGAATTAAGAGCACGTCCAATGAAAAAAAAATTCATGGAAAAAACCTCATTGGACATGCTCTAACGACAGTAGAAGGTTTAGAAGTTTACCTAAGAGAAAATTTATATACAGTTATGAAAACTTATGGACTACTGTGTATCTTAAACAAACCACATTTATGTTCTTTGTTCTTCTGTGTATGATGTGAATATATATAAGAAAAAAATTAGGAAAAGAAAAACAATAATATAATACACTATCGAAAACGTATATAGCATAAAGACTCGCCATGTATATTCACATCACGGGAAATTGTATTTTGATTTGACCTTTCCATTCTTTTTATAAATCTGACTGAACCGGTTTGACCAACAATTGTTTTACACAAAAGTTTGTATTTCCGTATAATTCGTGCATACAAAAGTTCTTTTTCGCGGATAGCATTACATAAGATATTTACCAACTGCATTCTTCATTGTCTATTTAATTGTCACTGACCGAATGTCAATTTTCTATAATGGCAAATAATTCCATATAATATTACGTTAATTCAAGTAGGCAAGACTCATGAGTCATGACTTAGTTCATACTCATAAAGTTTATATAGAAAAACGAATTTCTGGGGTGCGATTCTCTTTAGCAAGGAGTTGAGCACATAAAGAAATAGAAAAAGTCTAAAAAAGTAAAACATAAGTAAAAGAAATCATCTATCTCGGATTATCAAATCGGCCAATCTTTATCTTCATTGATCACCTTAACAGTTTGTATTTTGTAAGCAGTCTTACAAAATGCATTTGGTATAAGGTGGAAGTCTGATATGTATTTGCCGAATGGTAAATAAACGAACTGAAAAGAGACGACTAAATGCATTGGTCAACAACTAAATAAATATGCTAGAAGTTTTTTCTTTTTAAGATGGCAAAAAATGCTAGAAGTTCAGAAGTGATAAGACCATTATTACACATAGGACTGGGCATTTTATCCGTTATATTTGATTCGATTCGTTATTCGTTTCGATTCGATCCGAAAATTCTGGATATCCGTAAACTTTCGAATCAAAGCAAATACTAAAATTCAATATCCGTTAAAATCGAAGCAAATCACAAATAGTAAATTTTTGAGAAGCGGATATCCGATCCGATCCGTAAATATATAAAATATATGTATATCTTGATTATATTTAACATTTTAAATGTAGAAAATTATATAATTATTATTCTAGCATATGATTTTGAACAATTCTATTCAAATTATTACTTATTTAAAAGTATTACATAAAAAGAAAGAAAGAAAATTATGACAATTATATTTTTTTCTTAAATTTTGTGTTATTATAATTGTAACTTAAGCTTAAAAGTTTAGAAAATATATAAATTCACTAGTTCTTTTAAGTTTTATTTTATATATCATGCAAAAAACTTTTTTTGCAAAGCAAATTTGTATCAAAATCTTAAGATTATTTGTATTAATCAAAATGGATGAGATATCCGTAAATATTCGTAAATATCCGCAAATATCTATTTATTTTCCGGATATCCGTTTTTCCGGATATCCGTATTTTTTCGAAGCAAAGCAAATACCAAAATTAGATATCCGTAACATTCGAAGCAAATCACAAA